CTATGTGGTGAAGTCTATTTTTACGCACTGGCAGTAGTTACGGATGTGTGTCGGCTGCAACACGGAGATAAACAACCTGTAGCATCAGTTATAGCTGCAGGAAATAAGCAAACAACCACATAGCTCTGATCAGGTGCTGCTTGTTTGGTCTGCTCCGTCACTCCGTACTGCAAAAGTGATCTAGAACTAATCAATATTCTTAACTTAGGTCTATTTACCCTTAATCTGAGCAGGTAAATCAGATAACCTGTCAATGGAATGAATATCTTTACTCTTAGGCCCCGTCCACAGGAAGTCAAACCCTGGCCTAAACGCACAAATTTTTCACCAAACCAGCCTCTCATCCATACGAAGCCGGCGTTTCGGGGGTCTGTAAACGATCTTTTTTTTATTCAGCCTTCAGAGTGGGAAGATTTCGAAATGCCGTTTTCGCGTTTCCATCTTTACGCTCTAACCGCATATTTTTTTTTACACGCATGCGTCATAGCGTCGCCTCTAAACATGCATGCGCGACACATCACAACAACAATGGCGCCGTTGCTGCTAATGCTACTCACCCTGCTGTCGGGCTTACAACAGAATCTTCTTCTTCTGGAATATCTCCAGGAAGAACAGAGCAATATCGACCACATAGTTCAGCACCTGAATTTGACTGAACCACGAAAATGGACCCGCAGGGCAACCATGTATAAATATTAGTGCGCATGCCCAACATTTCTTCGCTTATTTTTGCTTTGGCACCACAGCGCCACTTACAGGCCTGGCATACATTTTGCAGCGTTTTCATGCATTCGTGTGGACGATCACATTTATTTTACGTCTCCGTCTTTACTGCAAACGTTTTGGAAAATATCAGCGTTTCGTGTTCGTTTTGACTTCGTCTGGACGGGGCCTCAAAATAAGATAATTAGATAATATGCACTGGAATAACAACAATGCAATATTTTTCTAATTTCAATGCAAATGATCTTGTTCCATTGTCAAAATGTCTCACCTCCTCAATTCAAGAAAAAGTACACTTTTTTTTATTATTTACGTATTTAGATTAAATTTGTTGCAGTGTTGTGGTTCCATCTGACAGGTGTTGCCTCAGATGTAGCTTTAGCTTAGCTTCACCTCTGAAAGAAGGTTAATTAGTGGAAACTATAATGATTCAAATCTCTGTGGTTTTTATTATAAGAAACATTTAAATGTCATGCAAAAACATCTGCAGAACAGGAAAGGAATAAGAGTGTGAGGCGTGACAGAGCCGCCATGACAGCAGCTCATCGCCATGGAGACGATAAAGCAAAGCTGGGATGCAGTGGAGACGGATTATCTGCTGGATCCCTGAGGGTCGTTTCTACCGGGAAAGAGAATTTGAACATCTATTCATTAATGATATGAGGGACGTTCAATAAGTAAGGCCAGTGAGGTTTAGAAGCTGAGGCAGAGGTATAGACAGTTTTATTTTTGCGTCCGCAGACGGAGAGACAGAGCTCTGACTTGGGCAAGTTCAGCAAACACATTTATAATGTACAAGTCCCAACACACACTCTCTCTTGGAACCATCCAACCCCTGCATAAAGAACTTTTTCACACACAAACTTCAGTCCCTCAAGGTTAATGAATCTTTCATTGGCCAGATAAACATTTAACAACAGCTGTCTTCTGTTTACGGTTTACGGTACGAGGGAGCCTGAAGCACCTTAAAGGGCACGGATCATACATACATACATATATATATATATATATATATATATGTATGTATGTATATATATATATATATATATAGCAGAGATGGGAAGTAACGAAGTACAAATACTTTGTTACTGTACTCAAGTAGATTTTTCTGATATTTTTACTTTACTTTACTACTTATTTTTATGGCGACTTTTTACTTCTACTCCTTACATTTTTACACAAATATCTGTACTTTCTACTCCTTACATTTTAAAAAATTGGCTCGTTACTTTAGTTTTGAATCATTTCAATGGAGTTACTGTTATTATTTTTCCCGTCATCAATACCAAATTCAATCTAATTGGATGGGAATCTACGTTGCATTTGACGCACCGCTACAAGATGAATCGACAGATTCGGCGGTATTCATTGGCGGCAAATCATTGCAGCTTGGTGGCGGTGGCGTTAGCATAGTAGCATGGACGACGAGATGATTGAAAATGAACACAACGGAGATCTAGTCCTATTGGCAGACATCCATTTAAAATGTAGGCAACGGCATGAAAAAAGTGGTTTCTACTTTTACTTTGATACTTTAAGTAAATTTACAAGCCTGTACTTTGTTACTTTTACTTGAGTAAAGAAGTTTAATCAGTACTTCCACTTTTACCAGAGTATTTTTTAACACAAGTATCTGTACTTTTACTCAAGTACGGAAAATGAGTACTTTTGCCATCTATATATATATATATATATATATATATATATATATATATATATATATATATATATATAGCAGCCCCATTCTACAGATAGAGAAATGTTAATAGAATAGACATCCATTATCTGTTCTAGGTTGTGTCCCTCTCTTCTTGTCCCTTTTCTTCTTGTTTTCCTCTCTATGTTTTGTACTCAGCTGACTTTTCATGCTGTCTCTAAAGGAATGAAAGATTTTTTCCAAGCACTAAGCTCACTTAGCTGATTGCTCCTTCCTGTGTTTCCAAAAAGGCCAAAGTAAATAACCCAGTCCTTCTTTTCACTGTAGACAAGCCATGATCTGCTTATCTGTTCTCCATTTTTCATTTGGATGAAATAATAGCTGCATGAATCATGACAGCAGACAAGATAGAGGAGAGCAGGAGGCGGGGTTACCAATCTACTCGCTCTGGAGAGCAGAGTTCGCTGCTTTTAGATGTTGTCTCCAAAGTCTCCAGTAGCAGAAAAAAGTCTCTAGATTTGGCGCTAGGAGCTTTTTAGAAATCAAAGTGCTAGAGGGGTCTGAAAAGTGGCTAAATATAGCGACTAAAGCGCTAAGTTGGCAACACTGCTCTTTGCATGGTTTGTTTTCAAATGGTTTGCTGCTGTCTGTTTGGACCTTTCTGAACATGTGCAGCAAATGGACTGATCCAATATGGCGGACACTGAAGTGTTGCCTAATGGTAAATCCCCCCCCCCGCTCTGAACTAAAGGTGGTTTCTGATTTACAGGCGTTTGAACTCTTTACTTTATACATGCTCCCAATCGGTAGAGTTATTAGACAGCATGGGATTAATTTCCACTGTTATGCTGATGATACCCAGCTCTATCTGTCTATAATCCAGATGAAGCTAACCCATTACATAGATTACAGGCATGTCTGAAGACATAAAAACCTGGATGACTCTTAACTTTCTGCTTCTGAATGCAGATAAAACAGAAGTTATAGTCTTTGGACCAGAGTCTCTGAAAAAGAAACTGATTAGCCAGTCACTTCATTTGGATGGGATTAAACTGATTTCAGATAATAAAGTAAAAAATCTTGGTGTTATTTTTGATCAGGACCTGTCATTTAAATCCCATATCAAAGAGGTTTCCAGAATTTCCTTCTTTCATCTGAGGAACATTGCAAAAATTAGAAATCTCATGTCCAGGGGTGATGCTGAGAAACTAGTCCATGCATTTGTTACTTCAAGGCTGGACTATTGTAATTCTTTACTATCAGGAAGTCCACAAACTGTAGTTAAAAGCCTTCAGCTGATCCAAAATGCTGCAGCCAGAGTTCTGATGAAAATGAAAAAGAGAGATCATATCTCTCCTATCCTGGCTTCTCTTCATTGGCTTCCTGTTAAATCCAGAATAGAATTTAAAATCCTCCTTCTCACATATAAAGCCTTAAATGGCCAAGCTCCATCTGATATCAGAGATCTGATTGTTCCTTATGTTCCTAACAGAGCACTTCGCTCTCAATCTGCAGGTTTACTAGTGGTTCCTAGAATTTCTAAAAGTAGAATGGGAGGCAGATCTTTTAGTTATCAGGCTCCTCTCCTGTGGAACCAACTACCAGTTTTAGTCCGTGAGGCAGACACCCTTTCTACTTTTAAGGCTAGACTTAAAACTTTCCTTTTTGATAAAGCTTATAGTTAGGGTGGCTCAGGTTATCCTGAGCTATCTCTATAGTTCTGCTGCTATAGGCTTAGACTGCTGGAGGACATAGGGACCCCTTTTTCATCACTCTGCTTCACTCCTGTGGAGCCAGTTGCCTTTTGTATCTATGCTTCTTTTTCTATGTCTGCTTCTGTCTCCTTGAACCCCAGTCGGCCTCGGCAGATGGCCGCTCACACTGAGCCTGGTTCTGCTGGAGGTTTCTTCCTGTTAAAAGGGAGTTTTTCCTCTCCACTGTCACTACAAGCATGCTTAGTGTGAGGGATTGTATTTGAGTCAATGAGTCAATGCAATCAACTGGTTTTCCTTAGACAGAAAACTTTGTATCAATTTGACTGTATGATCTGGTTGAACTGTAAAGTGCCTTGAGATGACATGTGTTGTGAATTTGGCGCTATATAAATAAACTGAATTGAATTGAACTCAGTCAAATGACCTTGAATCAGTTGCCTTGCAACATTTTTTACAGGCTCATATGATGAAGCATCATCACCATAACTTACCTTCATTTCATCCAAAGTTTCCAGTTGTCCTTTCTAATAGAAACTCAGACTTGGCTCAGTTCAAACAGCTGTCAATCAGAAACAACATTTAGTTCAAGGCTGTAATTTACCACTTAGTCTATAGAGATTTAAATCATTGCATATGCTAAATTTCAGCTAGATCAAACCAAAGGAAGTGGGTCAGGGGCTTTACATATTGAACGGCCCTTGTAATTATGCAATCATACCAATAATGCTTAGAAATAATGCAATACAATAACAGGTGATGAACACAACAGATTACTGTTTGTTTTTTGCTCTAGACAGAACCTCTCTGACCGTTTGGACAGACAGACTGAATTCATCAGTCTTTCCTTCCTGCTGATTGGATCCCATCACAGGCAGTGAGCTCTGATTGGTCCGTCCTTATAGCCTGCCCTGTCCAATCACCCTGCTGCGTTCAAGTTTTATGTAATTGGGCTGCCTGCTCTCTTCTCACTCTTTTTTGCAGCAAGAGGAGCACGGAGGTCTGCAGCAGGGTAAGGGGCCATGCTGTTCTTCACTATCAGGCTATTTCTGCAGGAAATCAATGCAGTCTGCAGCCAAACATCCAGACTGTTGCAGAAACTCAGCCTTAGCAAACATCTAAGAATCAGAATCAGTTTGATTACTTTACTAAGTCTGTTGGTTGGGGGGGTGCATTTCTGTCGGATAAGTTGTTAAACTTTAATTTAAAGGTTGTTAATGTGAACTTTGGTCCTGTGGAGTATTTTTCAGTCCCTGATTGGCTGGAAGCAGAGGCATGAAGTTAACAGTGGGATCTGATTGGTTTAAGAGGCTGGCAGGAGACCAGGCCCCGCCCCCTCTGACTGCTCTGCAGTCATGAAGTGCAGAGCACCGACTTGGACTGCTGCTTTTCTGTCTTTTCATTTAAAATAATGGAAATGTGAATCAGATGCGAACTGCTGATCCAGAGAGGCTGAATCACTCAGACAGAAGATTCACTCAGTCTCAGTTATTCCTCCTCAGCAGCTTCCATCACTTATTCTTTATTAAATCATAAAACAGATCAGAATCAATTTATTTTGCTTTGTGTCCATGAAGCTGGAAGCATAACTGAACCCAGAATCTGGACATTCCTGGTTCCATAGACAAAAGCTAAATGCCTTCCCTGCTCAGATATTCCGATGCGTTCTATATTAGGCAGCAAGTGGTACTTTCACCAGAACCGATGGTTCTGGTCGGGTCACTATGGTGTCACAGAGTCACCATCAGTGTTCCTGCACCACAGCAGTCCTGGAGCCTTTTGGGGATGTTGGTGCTGCTGAACAGGATGTTACTGAAGTTTCTCCCGGATGCCATTTTTTCCCCAGGATTTTTCTATAATTTATTCGGCTGGAAGAAACAGTTTCTTCCAGTTTCTTCCACTTGTGCAGAAGAAACCAGTTTCTTCCGGAAAAACCCTGCTGGAGATCAAGATAAAGAGTCCCTGTACTCCTTACACTCCAGACTTCCAGGATAAATGTTTATCCTGCTAATCTGAAACTTAGCTTCAATATTCTGCTAATTTAAAAATATTTGCTTCATTCAAACAGAAAAGTATTAAAAAGGTATCGCTAAGTAGCGGCTCGGCTCGGTCTTCCTTTTGGATTTGCTCAGGGCTGAGTTTTCTCCTTGCAGAAGCGTAGCGGCTGCCATGAAATCTAGGATCACTTTCTTTGTTATCTTCCCACTGTGGATCAGCTGACTGCCTTTACATCACGACACAAAGCAGTCAACCAGTTCTCTGCAGATCTGACCAGATCTGACTGACAGCTTCCAGACTGAACATAGAAGCTGCCTTCCTCAATAGAAATCTGTCCCAATTTTAGCTTCTCATATTAACTTACATTAAAGATGTAAAACCGTCACATTATGTTAAAGAACAGGTAGATAAGACTACAGCTGCACAAAAACAATTCAGTTTCTTTCTATAGCGCCAATTCACAACACATGTCATCCCAAGGCTCTTTACAGAGACAATTCATCCTGGTTGAGTGGTGGCCTGGTGGTTAGAGCAGTTTCTTGTGCTCTGAAAAGGTTGCAAGTACCTGGTTCAGCCCCCACAGCCTCCACTCTTGGTCCCTGAGCCCCACACTGCTCCCCAGGCACCGCACAGGTATTCACACATTCCGCTTTGTTTATAAAAAATATGACAGTGGATGTCTGGGGGACAGTGATTCGCCTACATGTTATAAAGTATTTGTACTTCGTTACTTAACACCTCTGCATTTTGAATTGAAAAAATCTTGCTGGATGGGAAGAGAAACGTCTTCAAACTTGGAAACAAAGTCCAGTGGATTGATTTTGTACTTTTTTGGACTGACTCTGACCTGGATGACTGAGAATCTTCACCAGCAGATTATCAAAACCTAATTTGACAGGTGCTAGCAAAAAATGGTAATCCACTAAATGGAAAAAAATATTTAGCGATTAGCTCCTAGCTGAGTAGCAAACAGGTGTTGCTTTGGTTGGATGGCGTTTCTAAGGTCAGGAGTGAAGAGACCGAGTACACAGCCCTGAGGTTCACTCACACTTTTATTCAACAAAACACATCTGATAACGGTCAGAGCTTCTCAACTAAAATAATCCTTTTTACAAGAACACACAATTATGAGGCTAGTCATGGTAATCCCACATATATGTGAATTCTGAGGCTGCACATCGTTAAGGTTGATTAGTTTGACTTCACCTCATTGTCTAGAGTGATTGTTCTTGACAATACATGCTGAATGTGGATAACAAAGAAGCATCTGGACTCTTTTTTAGGAGGATGATTTTAAGATGGAAAATGTATTTACTTCATGTCGTAAACCGCTGTGTTTCCAAGAGGACATGGAAATTTGACCTTTGACTTTCTCTAAAACTTTAGCAAAAGGACAAAAAAACTTCCCTTGTTTGTTTGCTTACATTAGAAGCATCTCTTGATGAATGAGGCCATGAAAGCTCATTTTTATCACATTGTTTATAAAATTCTTTCTGATCATACAGGTTGTTTCTGGCTTTGTTCATATCATCAGTTCAACAGCAGCTCTAGTTAAAGCTAACTTCACTGCTAAAAGGCTTCTGAACCAAACTCAAGAAGGTCTCCCACAACTTTTTGTTTTTACATTTTAATTCAACTAAATTTTAATCCATTATTCGTTGGGGACATTTTTGCACCTACATCTCTTTAAAGCATTAAGACTAGGCTGAGTTGATGAAAGGATAAAAACAAAAATCCTGGTTTTGTTTTTGTCATGATTTTATCAAGAGCTCGGACCCACATGCAGAAAATCAATTCAGAGAGACCAGAGGAAAGTTTAACAGGTTTATTGACAAGATTGTGATGAATCCAGTGTAGCTCTGAACACAGCTCAACCGGAACTGAAGAGTGAGGGGAAGACACTGCGGTTAGTTCAGGCTCAGTGGGAAATTTAATTCATGAACCTTAAGAGGAGAACTAGATTGCAGACTCACGTTTCCAGAAAATGGTTGACTCTTTGACTCCAGTCGGTGTTGGGGTGTTCCAGTGTTAGTCTGATTCGATGGAGGGCGGACAGGGTTTACTCAGAATGCGGTTGTTTGTAGGTGAACGGAGAGGCTAACTGCTACTTAGATTTCCTGCTGTACTTGAACGGACTGTGGTGCAGATGAATCCCCTGCTCAGAGAAACGCAGCAGACATTCCTTGGGGGAATGGGCTGATCAGAATCACATCCTTAAATCCTCAGCTCAGCTTGATTCTTAGACTATCCTTCCAGGGGAGAGAAGGTCCAAAAAATCCAGTAGCAAGATGACTTCCTGCCGAGAGGCAAAGACAAAACAACGAGGTTAAAACTCAGGTAGACAAAAACTCAGTTTGACTCAGCAAAACTCAGCTTGGCTAGAGTACCCAACACTGGCAAACACTCTGGCGTCGAGGTAGTGGCAGTCAGCAGCTTAAAGGAATAGTACACCCAAAACATGATTAGCCTTCCTTTTCTACTCACCCCCATGCTGAACAACACTCTGGAGTACTTTTTTGATATCTCAAATGCATCTGGAGATCTGGGAGGCTTCTTGCTGTCTGCTGACATTCAAATAATGGAGGTCTATGGCGCCCGAGGCAGAAAGGTCATAAAAGTCCACAAAAAACGTGTCAATATTCCTCCATACTGCTCGTCCAATGTATTCCAAGTGTCCTGAGTGGGTAGCGTCCATAATTTACTCGAAACGAAGTCATTTAGAATGTTTTTAGAGCATAAACAGTAGTGTATAGGATTTCCTGAAAGCGCGTTCACGAGTCTACGGAAGCCGGCAGACCAAACCAGATGAAAGTGCGCATTCAGCGTCTGCTCTGCCGATAATGCAAGCGTAGAAGAAGAAATGTGCTGTTTACCTGTGCAAAGAAAGAAACAACGAAAGAAAAATGTCTGAGGACTTCAGTGTTGAGGAAGAGCATGAGTTCTTTGCCGAGCTGAATGCGCTGGTTTGGTCTGCCGGTCAATAAAGTACTCCAGAGTGTTGTTCAGCATGGGGGTGAGTAGAAAATGAAGGCTAATCATGTTTTGGGTGTACTATTCCTTTAAGAGCGCTCCGTTACCGAGGTAGCCCTCCGCAGGTGTGTGAGGAGGCGAACCAGGATCAGGCGCCTCCTGGTGGAGGAGGGAAGACAAACACACAAAACACAAACCACACAGACTGGAGTCCTAACAGTTTTGGTTTCTCTAAGAATCCTCTTCTAAACTTTTTTGCAATTAAAATGCCCGAAAATCAAAATCTGCTCAGCATATTTGTGTCATAAAAATTAAAAGATTTTCTTTCTCTTCTCAGAAACCATCAAAGTTCAAAGAATGAAGATTGCAGTTATTGGTCAGAGTCTGTTCGGCCAGGAGGTCTACAAGGAGCTGAGAAAGGACGGCCACACCATTGTTGGTGTTTTCACCATTCCTGATAAGGATGGCAAGGCCGACCCACTGGGTAAGAACTGGCATCCCGTGCCAAGCTATGCCTTCCTAAAGGGAGGCAGCTTTGGCTTCATCTGGGGTCAGTCTGAGATGACCGAGATGGTCGCAGAGCTTCACCTCTGGTGCATGCATGTCAGGCTGCAAATTGAATAAAAAGTGATTTATTGTTGGATTGTTAGGATTATCAGGTGTGACAGAAACCAACACCCTGCACAAATTTTTACCTAAGTCATTTTTTCTTATGTTAAGAGCATTTGTTCTTGAATTGAGGAGGTAAGTGAGACAGTTTGCCAATGGAACAAGAGAATTTATATTTAAAATAAAACAGATCTTTTGTCTTATTTTAAGTGCATATTATCTAATTATCTTATTTTAACAGTAAAAATGCTCATTCCATTGGCAGATCATCTATTTGCCTGCTCAGATTAATGGTAAATACACTTATTTCTACTCATTTTTAGATTGTTTTTGCAGTGTATCAGACGATCTACAATGTATAGAAACTAAATTGTTGTAAATAACGCTCTATATTGAGTTAATTTCAATGCTGTGATACTATTTATCCAAAAATTTAACGAAGAACTTGGAGGTTACCTGATATAGATCTCATAGATCCAGATGCTAAAGCTCAGAGTGATGAAGATTTCGGTATTAATTTTATTTATTAGTATTTTACTGTCAACCGCTTTAGAAGAAGAGTTCCTGGTTTTGTGGTGAGATCGCACTAGAAAAAATTCAAATAAGTCATTGTTTTTTTAAATAAGTGAATTTGTTCTTGAATTGAGGAGATGAGACACTTTTCCAATTCAACAACAAAATTTAGATTTTGAATAAGAAAAAACAATTGTCTTATTTCAAGTGCATTCTATCTAATTATCGTATTTCAAGAGTAAGAATCTAATTCCATTGGCAGAACATCTTATTCACCTGCTCAGATTAATGGTAAATACACTTAATTTAAGAAATGTTGACTTATTTCTAGATGTGTTTTTCAGTGGAGAACCGTCAGATGAAATCTGTTTGAGGCTCCATCATGGACAGCCAGTTCAACCCGCCTGGTAAACGGCGGGGAGGGAGGACACCTGAACCGAACCTGTCTTCACCCTGTGACTCCTATGTCTTTTGTCCTGCAGCTACAGAGGCGGAGAAGGATGGTGTCCCTGTTTTTAAGTTCCCCCGGTGGCGATTGAAAGGTCAGGCCATCAAAGAGGTGGTGGACCAGTACAAGTCTAGAGGGGCAGAACTCAACGTCCTCCCCTTCTGCTCCCAGTTTATCCCCATGGAGGTCATTGACCACCCCAAACATGGCTCCATCATCTACCACCCCTCTCTGCTGCCCCGTCACCGGGGAGCCTCTGCAATCAACTGGTCAGAGATGCTTCTTCAACTTGGGTTTAGAATCCAAATCCTGGCAGCATCCTAACCCGGGTTTAACTGTTCTCCACAGGACGCTTATCCACGGAGACAAGAAGGGTGGATTCACGGTGTTCTGGGCTGATGACGGACTCGATACGGGACCAATCCTGCTGCAGAGAGAGTGTGATGTTGAACCTAATGACACAGTCAACACAATCTACAAGAGATTTCTCTTTCCGGAAGGTGTCAAAGGCATGGTGAGGGACCGAGGTTAGGTTGGCGACTGTATGAAAGAACCACAGAGAGCGTCTGAGCATCTTAATACCAATGAAAATGTCTTACCTTAAGAATATATAGAAAAAAAACCCTACATTTTCATGCCTGGACAATTAGTCAAGTGTTTCTGCAGAGTCTAGAAAAGGTTGGGTCAATCAGAGGAATCCCAGGAATATTTCTGAAACACCATGACCTTAAGGTTTAGACTGAAATGATGGATGAAAAGGCAGAAAGATGAGTCTGGTTTAATCCCATGTTATCATTAACTATATATTCCAAAAACGTTAGAAGCAATCCACTGATCTGTTTCCAAGTTTGAAGACGTTTCTCTTCCCATCCAGGAAGCTTTTTCAATTGAAACTGTCAGAAATAGCGTTGAGTCCCAGCCTTTATACTGTCCTCTGAATAATTCAGTTGAATTAGCTAAAGAAGAGAGGTTGCTGGTTATTGGACATTAGCTAAAGAGGAGAGGTTGCTGGTTATTGGACATTAGCTAAAGAGGAGAGGTTGCTGGCCTTTGGACATTAGCTAAAGAAGAGAGGTTGCTGGCCTTTGGACATTAGCTAAAGAGGAAAGGTTGCTGGCCTTTGGACATTAGCTAAAAAGGAGAGGTTGCTGGTTATTGGACATTAGCTAAAGAGGAGAGGTTGCTGGCTCTTGGACATTAGCTAATGAGGAGACGTTGCTGGCCTTTGGACATTAGCTAAAGAGGAAAGGTTGCTGGCCTTTGGACATTAGCTAAAGAGGAGAGGTTGCTGGTTATGTGACATTAGCTAAAGTGGAAAGGTTGCTGCCTTTGGACATTAGCTAAAGAGGAGAGGTTGCTGGTTATTGGACATTAGCTAAAGAGGACAGGATGCTGGTTATTGGACATTAGCTAAAGAGGAGAGGTTGCTGGCTCTTGGACATTAGCTAAAGAGGAGAGGTTGCTGGTTATTGGACATTAGCTAAAGAAAAGAGGTTGCTGGTTATTGGACATTAGCTAAAGAAAAGAGGTTGCTGGCTTTTGGACATTAGCTAAAGAGGAGAGGTTGCTGTCTATTGGACATTAGCTAAAGAAGAGAGGTTGCTGGTTATTGGACATTAGCTAAAGAGGAGAGGTTGTTGGCTCTTGGACATTAGCTAATGAGGAGAGGTTGTTGGCTCTTGGACATTAGCTAATGAGGAGAGGTTGTTGGCTCTTGGACATTAGCTAATGAGGAAAGGTTGCTGGCCTTTGGACATTAGCTAAAGAGGAAAGGTTGCTGGCCTTTGGACATTAGCTAAAGAGGAGAGGTTGCTGGTTATGTGACATTAGCTAAAGTGGAAAGGTTGCTGCCTTTGGACATTAGCTAAAGAGGAGAGGTTGCTGGCTCTTGGACATTAGCTAAAGAGGAGAGGTTGCTGGTTATTGGACATTAGCTAAAGAAAAGAGGTTGCTGGCTTTTGGACATTAGCTAAAGAGGAGAGGTTGCTGTCTATTGGACATTAGCTAAAGAAGAGAGGTTGCTGGCCTTTGGACATTAGATAAAGAGAAGAGGTTGCTGGCTATTGGACATCAGCTTAAGAGGAGAGGTTGCTGGTTATTGGACATTAGCTAAAGAGGAGAGGTTGTTGGCTCTTGGACATTAGCTAAAGAGGAAAGGTTGCTGGCCTTTGGACATTAGCTAAAGAGGAAAGGTTGCTGGCCTTTGGACATTAGCTAAAGAGGAAAGGTTGCTGGCCTTTGGACATTAGCTAAACAGGAGAGGTTGCTGGTTATTGGACATTAGCTAAAGAGGAAAGGTTGCTGGCCTTTGGACATTAGCTAAAGAGGAGAGGTTGCTGGTTATTGGACATTAGCTAAAGAGGAGAGGTTGCTGGCTATTGGACATCAGCTAAAGAGGAGCGGCAGCTAAGGCAGGTAATCTGAAGAAGTTTCCATTTTAGAAATCATTATTTGTGATTCTAACACAGGTCTAGAAAATCGTCCTTTTCTGTAAATTCAGATTCACCTTCTGATTGTGAAGCTGTTGCTGATGTCATTTTCAAGCTTTAGAGAAAATTCCTTGAAGCTCCCTGTTTGCTTCTGCTGTGGTTCCAGGTAGAAGCTGTGAGGCTGATCACTGAAGGAAAGGCCCCAAAGATCACACAGCCTCAGGAGGGAGCCACCTATGAGTGCATTCAGAAGAAAGACAACGCCAAGGTAAAGGTTTCATCTTGTTCTGAAAGCTTTGGAAAAGGTTTTAGCTCCAACTCTGACCTCCTCACCATGACATCAGCTTTCATAATAACCTGTCTGTGATGTAACCAGAAGGGTGTAAGCTGTAGATCAGGGGATGCATGTAGTATTAGCCTTCAAAAAGAGGCCCTGAGCCACAACACATTCACCTTCATTCGCCCCCTAGTGGTGGGTCTTATCTGAAGAATGCATTGCATTATCAACAGGCAAATCACATGCATCTGTGTTTAATCTGAGTCTATGATGAGGATGGTGATTTTTGACGGGCGGCTTTCTGTGCTGGTAGATCGACTGGAACCAGTCAGCTGAGGCCATCCACAACTGGATCAGAGGGAATGACAAGGTGCCTGGGGCCTGGGCAGAGGTGGACGGACAGGTAACCACAGAAGCGCACAGGTTCAGTCATTCCTACACCTGGCTAAAAAATATTGTCTGTTCCACCTAATGAATCGATTACATGAGCAAACCCAGCTGGATGCATGTGTTCATAGAGGAGAAAATCTTCAGGAAGAATCAGTTTTCAGTGAACAGCGCCGCTGTGCTTCACCATCTCTCCCTCTGCAGAAAGTGACCTTCTTCGGCTCGTCTCTGGTGGATAACGGCACAGCAGCCAACGGCGCGCCCCTGGAGATTCCTGGAGCCAGTCGGCCTGGCGTCGTCACTAAGGCTGGGCTGGTGCTGTTCGGAAACGACGGCAAGACGGTGAGTCGGACTGGTGAACGCACTGCTACACATGGATCAGTAGAAGGTCTTAACTGGATCATGACGACTGAGAAAAGATACTATGGCAAGAAAAGCGTCCTTCAGGGGAAGACTGGTTGATGCCATCAGGCAGCTGCAGAAGATAACGGGTTGTTATGCAAAGTTCTGTGTTTCCACTTTGCTGTTTTCTCTTTCTGCGGTTCTTTTCCTGAGAAGAGATCACTCTGGACAAATTCTTTAAATAACACTTCATAATGTTTATGTATTAAATAACCAGGAGACATTACAACAGATTTCAACAGAAATTATAATCTTACTCAGATCAGAGAAGTTGCTTAGAGTTACAGAAGGCAGCTGCTTACCAACTGGACTAACATCTCATGAAGTTGCCCCGAATTCCAGTCAGAGAAGCATTTTATACTCCAGTCTGCCACTCATCCCATCATCACATCATTACAGCATAGACATTTGCAGATGAGGAGACATTCATGGCTCCAGCTTCATCAAAATATTATGGAGGCTAATGGTAGATTCTCCTCAGGACAAAAATCAAGACACTCAATGGTTATCTTAAAGGTATTGGGGAGGATTTTTGCAATTTTTAAAAAAGACCCCCGCTGTCCACTTTAAAAAAAAATGCAAATGCATAACCCTGTACCCCCTCCAGAGAGGGAACATCTATCAAACGCCTGCGGGAGCGTGAACAAGCCCATTTCACCTTCTGCACGCTCTGTTTAAACCCCTAAATCCCTCCATCTCTATATAGTGGGGACTTTATAATGAACTCAGTTAACTGACCGTTCAGACAGATGATCACTGCTTATTGCTCCCCTATGTTAGTAGTCGTTGCTGTCGGGTAGCGACAGCCTATGGCGACAGCAGGCCACTGTGACAGTAAATCCCATAATACTTTGTGAGGAGAGCTCTCTGCGCAAAGCATTCTGGGATATATTTGCCTCTTCTGAGGCCTTTCTTTTCTTCTCATACACTTCGTAGACACTTTTTCCCTTACGACCCTCCGCCATTTTCAAAGAACTGCCGTGAGAAAGGTGAGTTTCAGAGACTGTCTGAAACCGTAGCTCACCACAGATATACGCCTGAAAGTGCGCAAAAAAAGACAGCTAAAGGGACGAGTACATAGGACGGCCTTATGTTTACGTAATGACTGACAGTTAGGAAGACCACTGATCGAGATGATCCCCCGGAAAAAGAACATCACCTGCACCTTTAATGTCCCCGCCGGACGGGGGAAAAAATTGAGATTTATTGTAATGCTAATTCCAATGCTGTCCAAAAATCACAGAAGTACAGAACAGAGCTCATTCTCACCTCGCAACGCTGTTTCCCTATAACCCCAGGCTCACACCGACTCCGGTCTTACCTTTGCGGGGCGGTGGGTGCGGCGCCGCAGTGATTCCAAGTCATTAAAAAGACGTAAACCTCTCTCACCGGCTGCTGAGCTGTCCGGCTGCGGTTACCGAGACACTCCGGCGCTGCAGAAAATTCAGCAAGAAAGCTATCCTTGCGGCGTGCCGGAGCCCTCCGCAACAAGCTCTCGCAAATATCCTTATTTGGGCCGTGTTATCGCGTGAAGTTACGCGAACTCAAGTGAACTTCTGTTCTCGCGAGTTAAATCTCCGGACCTGTTGCCGGAGCCGCAGAGCCGCACCGCACCGTAGTCAAAAGGGCGGTGTGAGAGGGGGTGTGCGGGAGTTACGGTCTCCGTCGGCTTGGTAACCGCACCGGAGCCAGTGTGAGCAAGGGGTTAGACACCACACCCATCCTGGGTAAACTCATGCCATACTCTAACATGGTTGTGTATGTATATGCATATATGCGCCTATGGTGAAAGTATTTAGAGGGTGCAGGCGCTTTGTGTGTGATAGTCTCATGCACATGTAGACGTCTGTGTGGAAATCTGTGTTGCATGCTTCCTAAGAGAGGAAACGGATGTTTTTGTCAAGAGTTCTGATGAAGTTCTCAAATGAAAGTTTAAAACTTCCCAAATCACACCTGTTAAACTCTAAGTTGTGGGGCGACAGTGGCGTTGGATGTAGGAGTTTGCCCTGAAATCGAAGGATTGACGGTTCAAGCCCCGACTCCGACTTTCAGTGTCCTTGTGTCCCTTGGGCAAGACACTTCACCTGCATTGTATACTGATGGTGGTCAGAGGGCCCGGTGGCGCCAGTGTACGGCAGCCCCGCTTCTGTCAGTGAGCCCCAGGGCAGCTGTGGCTACAATGTAGCTTACCACCATGAGTGTGTGCGTGAATTGGTGAATGAATGTAGTGTAAAGCGCTTTGGTCAAGTCTCCTAACTTGAATAAAGGCGCTATATAAGTACAGGACATTTACCATTTACCATCTAAGTGACCTTGAAAAAAACATCCTCCTTTTTGGCAAAGATCTACTTCCATCAAGCTGCCATTATAATGTGTGCGCCGACGTTACCTGTCTAAATATTCAGGCCACGGTTTTCTCTGCATATCACCGACTGAGGAAGGAAGTAAAGCTCAGTGTGTTTACATGGCCTCAAATCATTTCTCTTCCACAATTATACACTTGTTCTTAGATCAAGGACACCACTCTCATTCCCAAACCTTTGTCTAGTTCATAATAATGACTTTTTATTCTGACAGAGGAACTATCCTAATTAGATAAACTAATTGGGAAAAAGGTATTATTAGCATTATTAGTATTATTAACATCAATAAGAATAACCCTGTTCGAATGTTTGCACTTTTCATGCCGATTTTCCAGCCGTGTGAGATTTTTTTTCGATCAGGCCGTCTTTCATCCTGATGGTGCGTGGTGTAGCTGTACAGGGGGTAACAAGGGCCGATATTCTAAGTACCAGTTATATAAGAAAACACTGAAGACAGGAAAACATCAACATAAGCGTAAGGAAAGTGATTAAAGTCCCACTGAGAAAGGTTGGGGGTATTAAACACGCTCTTTCAACACTATGGGGAGTCAGGCATGGCTCTGACCAGGAGAAGGCTGTTTGATGTCGTGGACCTTGGCAATATGTCTCTTCATCAGCAGCTTCTCTTTGAATAACTCGTAGCAGTGCTCGCACCTGTACGGCCGCACCTCTTTGTGCCTGGCCAGAACGTGCTTCCTCAGGGTGGAGCCGCGGTTGAAGGACTTGTCACAGATGTGGCAGCTGAAGGGCTTCTCGCCCGTGTGTGTCCTCAGGTGTTCAGTCATGTGTCCTTTCAGCTTGAAGCCCTTTCCGCAGTAAAGGCAGCTGTAGGGCCTCTCCCCGGTGTGGACCCTCATGTGGTTCTGCAGGTTGCTCTGACAGGGGATGTGCTTCCCACAGATGTGGCAGGTGAAGTTGGCCTTGCCGTCTTTGGACTTGTTTTCGTGCATCTTGAGGTGCCACGTCAACACTATCTTTTTTGTGAAGATGTAGTTGCAGATGTGGCAGCGGTACAGAGTGGTGGTGGTCTTCTCCTCCAGCTCGGGCTCCTTTGGAGAAGCCTGCTGTGGCTCGCTGCGTTCCTCTGCCGCCCTGCAGTCCTCCAACTGCTGCACAGTTTTGATCAGCTCTCTGGTCAAAGCGTCACCGTCATCACTGTCCTCCGTGGATGCCTCCTCCTTCGTGCCGTCGCCCCACAGCTCTTCCTCTTTGACCTCTGCAGGCCCTGGCTCATCCAAACTCGAATCCCGCGGCTTTGGAGGCGTTTCCTCTGTGGGTGTGGTGACAGTAGGAGCCTTGGCGTCTATAAAGACAAAGACATTTTACAGTGAACAGTGGGGTTGAGATTTGATACGGACGTGACTCGGCTGAACATCTTCCCGTCTCGTAGGAAGACGTAGGGTTGAATGAATCCTTCAAATGTTTTAATTCTCAGCTCCTAGTTTTGATGCCCAGCTCACTGAATGGAAGGAGAAGCTGCAGAAATACCACCGAAGGATTGGCAAGTGTATTTGCAGCAGTTTTGGAAAGATTGGCTTAATGTCAAGGAAAGACACTTGTGATGAGATGATATCATGCAAAGGAAGGCTGACAGGATTAGAAACTACTGGACTCATCTTTGACCCGCTGCACCAGTGCAGTGCGCAGGTAGGTTCCCCCGAGGTAATATGTTCGCCTCCATGGATAGCACATCTTTGGAAGCGCGAGCAGAGCTTCTCATTCACATCATTTTCTAACAGATCCAAAGAAAATCTCTTTAATCCAGAGCTGTCAGACTTGGGGGAATCTAAGATGTTTTTTTGACCAAACCTGATAAATTGACTTTTTCCAAGGACACTGCCACCTGTGGCCAAACCACAGCATTGCAGCTCTCTTCCGCTCGTTCTCGTACTTAACAAGGTTGTTTTTGTTTTACTTTTTTAACCTTACGATTAGTGTCTGAGTTTAGCTGGCGGTTGCTTCAGAGTTTCCACCAAATCCATGTTGAATAGAAAGCTTTGATTGTTTGCTAGGTCAGGCTCATTCAACATGGATGCTCTGGACGTCACATGCTATTTATTTCTAGATTGTGCAGGTTAGAGAGTGACTGCAAAAGAAAGACGAGGTCCAGGCCATGGAGGTGGAGGTAATACCCATAATTAGGGCTACAAATTGTTCTATGTATTACATATTATATTGATTAGTCTGTTGATAATTTTTTTCAATTAACCAATTAATAATCTGAAAGCCAAAGGTTCCTTATAGAAACCTCTTTACGAAATTAAACTTTGTAAAATATAAACGTTTCCACTTCAGTAGTTCTGGATAGATCAGATTGACAAATGAAAACGTTTTTTTTAATCTAAAATGCAAAATGTTTATATATTTTTTAGGGATGCACGATATTGGGATTTTGGCCGATATCCGATATGCCGATATTTTAAAACTCATGTAGCCGATAACCGATATCGATACCGATGTCAAAGCTGGACAAAAATAAGTAGTCATTGAAAATAGCAGTTTTATTATCCATTTCTGACACTTTGAAAAATAATATACCCAAATATATTTTCATATGCTGATATCAAATAGATTTTTAAAAACGCGGTATCGATCTATTTTACTTTCAAAATCTGGTGAAATTTCATCGTTCTGTTACAAACTCTCTTGATATTTTGCAAATTCTTGTGAGATTTTGTTAGTAAAATAGATCGATAC